TTATGCGCACCGAGAAGAATGTTGGGGCGAAGAATGCGTGCCCGTTCTGAAACCGCCTCTCGATTATTGTGAAGAGGATAATTGGAGTGAATGGAAAGAGAGCCCCTGTCAAAGTAGTTGTTTAGAGAAATCTAAAGGCGTAAAAGTCAAACGACGTTCTTGCAAACATGGACTTCACAGAACGGCGAGTTGCGAAGGATCATATTACGACGTGGCTCTGTGCGATGACTCGATGCTCTGTACTAAAAATCGCATGACAATCGACAACTTCACTCTCCTGAAATGCATTGAATTTAGCAATAATAAACATTTAAAAATATTTGCTATCGAATTGGAACGCGTGGCGCCACGGCAAATTAAGTCCTTCATAGTTACGAGGAACCGTGGACGGCCTGTACCATACACTGCGTACTTAAACATTCAAATTATTACTACGCACCACGCTTGGAATTGCTCAGCTTGGGTATCGATCCATACTTTCCAGATGGAACGTGGTGTTACAATAAAGATGGCCAGGATTATTACTGCCGCCAACATTATTGTCGGCCGGAAAACTACACTCAAAAATAATTGTCGAAAGATTATCGATGTGAGTGAACGAGAATGGAGAAAAGAGAAAATTATAAAACGCGCGTACATCAGTCTAGAATAGTTGGTCAATTCGTTTGGTACCAAATGTTCGATCAAACAATCTGTCGTTAATAACATCTATTTTGCGTATCATCCACAATTTACTTAATAAAGAGAAATAGACTAAGACTTACATCGAATTATCAGCATCCAAAATTAATTCCGTCGATTAGCAATAATACAAACATGAAAAAATAACAAAAAAATAATAAGTAATATTTAATATGTTTACAAAACGCAAAAATAAGTAGCGAAATATAGTAGAAATATTTTTATTTCGTATGAAATATTGTGTCGAAAAAATAAAGGAGAGTGATGACGTCACTCACTGTGTTATGTATTTCAATAGACTACTAATGTTTCATTAATAACCTATACAGAAACGATTAATAAACAAAAAAATTAAGAAAATTTTATTAAAAAATATCATAATTTTCAAAATTATTTGGTACAAACTATTATTTATTTATTGAACACATAAACTCGGTAACCGAATACGGCACGTCAGAAATGAATAAGTTACAATATAGTTTCTAACTCAGTAAAGCGATAAGCAATTGTATTTTCCTTTTATATTAAATTTGATATTTATAATGTTAAATTGCGTCAGCAATATTAAGTTCCAGTCATTCTAAAATTTTCATTCATTAAAATTTTTTGCGTTCGTGTGTAATGTTTGTGAATAGTGTTACATATTCAACATATGAATCATAATTTGCATTTTATAAAATTCCACTGCTTACACGTATTAAATATATGTATTAAATACAATGAAATATACAATTTAGAATCGAAAAAAACAATACATACATAAAGAATGTCCCAATAAAGTGTATATATACATTTAGAAATCGGAAATCCGTTTGCCATGCGCACGCTGCGCGTCCGCGCCTAGCAGCGATTAGAATAACGATAAGTTAGTTTAGTCTTTGTCGTAGTAATAGTAATATGTCGTGAGAGATCTCACGATAAAAGAACACGCCTTATGCTTATTTCATATTTATAATAAAGTATTCTTTAAGTGCATGAGCATTTCCGTCAATGATCCTACATACATTTTACCATTATATATTATAACAAAATGGACAGACATTAACTTGCTAAGTGTGTCTACATTCCATTGGGACATCCTGTATGTGTTGCACAAAAAATATATACACAACAAGTGTCACCCGACACGAATGAGATTCCTAAACCTAGATGCCAGTATGTATTCAATACGCGATCAGAAGATACGACAAACCGGAAGGTATTATAACGTATATTATAAGTAATATAATACATAAAAAGACGTTATAAAACATTAATAAAACGTTAATAAAACGTTTAATAAAACGTTTCCAAGTACTATAATTAAAAAGCGCAAGAAACATGTTTTTCATATTGAAGTTGGTGATAATAATTTTATTAAATAAATCGTACGCGTATATCACACAAAATATCGAAACAATATTGCTGCCAACATTGAATTTGAAAAACACAGAGAAAGTACGTTAGTTCTACAGCTTCACTCATTGTTAAATGTCTAAAATATTCGATAATTGTCATATCTTTTATTTATTGTCATCTAATTTTCAGATACCGTTAACTCTTAAAGTTTTTGGAACACAGATTCAGTTAAATCTGCATAGAAATGACCAAATAGTACCTACATTTAAATTATGGAAACATGACGCAACAGACATCACAAAAAAATTGTCAGAATTAAATGCATCGGATCCTTGCTATTATTTTCACGAAGATCATATCAGCATTTCGGCCATAAACTATCGTAAAGAATCTGGATGGGTCAGTGTACCATATAAAAATTAAATTGTTTTAACTTTTAATCTTAACTTTTTTTTGTTTTATTTATAAACATGGTAAGCAAAAACTTGACACATATTTATCTAATGTAGGAAGGATTCGTTCTCTTGAAGAATGTCACGTTGGAAATTAGACCATTGCGGGATGACTTGGCGTCTTCGTCTTTAACCGACGATTTTTGCGTTAAAGAAGAAATTAACATTTCATTTGGCAAATCTCACCTAATTAAAAGATCTTTGCAATTATCTGCAGACACAAGTTTTCATAATTTGGACAATTTTAAACTGAAGCAACGTCGTGTAAAAAATACGAAAAAAAAATTAACTATAGAATTGGCTGTTTTTCTCGACGAAGCTGCATATCGTACGTTCATGTCTTTTCTGGACGGAAATAAAGAAATGTTGCGCATGATGATATTAGCGTATGTAAATAATATAGAAGCTGTGTTCCATCATCCTAGTTTGGGAGTTTCTGTCGATATTTCGTTGGTATATTTGAAAATTATGAATAAACAACCGTCAAATTTGCCAGTTTACGGCGGCGATAAGAAACGATTGCATTCGTTCTGTAATTACACGGAAACTCTTAATCCTACGGACGACAATGATCCAGATCACTGGGACGTTGGTCTTTATCTAACCGGAAGAAATCTTTATTACACCGAGCAAGGCGTAGTCGAAAATAGTACCCTAGGTATATCTAACAAAAATAGTGCGTGCACATTATTTCAGTCGTGTGTGGTAACAGAATTCGGTATTGCGGATACTGTATCCTCGGGTTTTTCATCGTCTCTCACTACTGCTCATGAGATCGGTCATGTGTAAGTTTTTATATAATAGTTTTTACTAGTTTTATATAATAGTTTTAGTGTAAATTAAGTATAAATATGTTTCAAAAAAATTTACTGAATTGTTTAGTTTAAAAGCAAAAAGTAAACAAATTCTTTTAAGAGATTTGTTCCTTTAATTATTCAGTATGTTAATTATTAATAAATTTTAATAAAAAAATATTGACAATAATCATTGCTAAGTAAAGCAAAATTAATAATTTCTTTGTTTTAAAGTTTAGGAATGGAACACGATTCCGATTATACAAAACCATGTAAAACATACAAATATATAATGTCATCCTACCAATTCCATCAAGGACAAATAGCATGGTCCGAGTGTAGTCGTGATATAGCTAGCAGACTATGGCACACAAAACCATGTCTTCGAGATCGTACGAAAAATCTCGAAGACGTATTTGACCATTCGCGGTATCAAAATTTACCCGGAAGAGAATGGACTGCCAAAGCACAATGCGAAGTATATTTCCGAGACAAGGATGCGAACGTAGTCTCGTTGCTTGATATATGCAAAACCTTGGAATGTGAAACGCCTCATAAGAAAGGCTTTTACTTAACGGGACCGGCGTTGGACGGTGCGTTTCCATTTGCTGATCTCTCAAATAGTTTATGGCTTAATTAATCTCATTTTTTAGGCACTTATTGCGCACCCGGGAAGGAATGTTGGGGCGGAGAATGCGTGCCCGTTCTGAAACCGCCTCTCGATTATTGTGAAGAAGATAATTGGAGTGAATGGAAAGAGAGCCCCTGTCAAAGTAGTTGTTTAGAGAAATCTAAAGGCGTAAAAGTCAAACGACGTTCTTGCAAACATGGACTTCACAGAACGGCGAGTTGCGAAGGACCATATTACGACGTGGCTCTGTGCGATGACTCGATGCTCTGTACTAAAAATCGCACGAAAATCTACAACTTCACTCTCCTGAAATGCATTGAATTTGGCAATAATGAAGATTTAAAATTATTTGGTGTCGAATTAGAACACGTGGCGCCACGGCAAGTTAAGCCCTTTCATAGTTACGAGGAACCGTGGAAGGCCTGTACCATACACTGCGTACTTAAACATTCAAATTATTACTACGCACCACGCTTGGAATTGCTCAGCTTGGATATCGATCCATACGTTCCAGATGGAACGTGGTGTCACAATAAAGATGGCCAGGATTATTACTGCCGCCAACATTATTGTCGGCCGGAAAACTACACTCAAAAATAATTGTCGAAAGATTATCGATGTGAGTGAACGAGGATGCAGAAAAGAGAAAATTATAAAACGCGCGTACATCAGTCTAAAATAGTTGGTCGATTCGTTTGGTACCAAATGTTCGATCAAACAATCTGTTGTTATTAACATATGTTTAACGTATCATCCAAATCTTACTTAATAAAAACAAATGGATCAAGAATTACGTTCAATTATCAGCATCTACGACTAATTCCGTCGATTATACAAACATGAAAAAATAACAAAATAATAAGTAATATTTAATATGTTTACAAAACGCAAAAATAAGTAGCTAAATATAGTAGAGATATTTTTATTTCGTATGAGATATTATGTCGAAAAAATGGACGAGAACAATGACGTCACTTACTATGTTATGTATTTCAATAGACTACCAATGTTTCATTAATACTTATATATAAACGATTAATAAACAAAAAAAAATAAAAAAAATTTTATTACGTAATTAAAAAATATACATAATTATTTATTAAAAATTTTTACTTATTTATCATTTAAACTCATGTGAGCACCGTAATTGCATAGAGAACGCTGTCAGAAACGGATAAGTTTCGATGTATTCTCTTAGTCAATCAGAAAATCAGTAACCAAATATAACTTAGTTTTATAACATATCACAATATTTATTCGGCTAAATTGCGCCAGCAATGTCATGTTCTAGTCATTCTAAAATTGTCGTTAATTAACATTTTCTTGATGTTTGAAAATAATATTGAAAATATTTAACAATAATGTTACATATTCTACATATCAATCACAATTCATATTTGTTAAAATTTTACCATTATCGCAAATATTATATGTGAAATATACAAATCAGAACTGAAAAAAGAAGATAAGGTGTCGCAATAAAATGTATATACATTTTATTCCATATATTTTTACAAGTAAAATAAATACACATTAACTTTTTAAATGTGTATATATTTTACTCGGACACTTTGTAAACGTAGCAAAGGAGAAATATATACAATAAATGTCACACGACACGAATTATACTTCCAAACCTAGGCGCCAGTATCTGTTCTATACGCGATCAGAAGATACAACGAACGTGAGAGTAGTATAACGTATGTACGTAATAAGTAATTTAATATATAAGAAGACGTTATATATATTTTTAAACATTTTCAAATACGCAAACTAAAAAACGTGAGAAACAACATGTTTTTCGTATTGAAATTGCTGTTAGTATTATTATTAAATATACATGCGCGTATATAACGCAAGATATCGAAACAATATTATTGCCAGCATTGAATTCGACAAGCGCAGAAGAAGTACGTGATTTTTATAGTGTTGCATTATATATTCATTGCTCAACGTTTCAAATATTATTCCAGAATTATTAAGTCTTTTATTCATTGTTATTCAAATTGCAGATACCACTAACTCTGAAAGTTTTTGGAACACAAATTCAGTTGAACTTGCATACCAACAATCATATAGTATCGTCCTTGCTTAAAGAATGGAAATATGACGCAAAAATGATCACAGAAGAATTATCGCTATTAAACGCTATTAAACTCATCTCTCATTGCTGCTCATGAGATCGGTCATGTGTAAGTTTTTATATAATAGTTTTTACTAGTTCTATATAATAGTTTTAATGTAAATTAAGTATAAATATGTTTCAAAAAAATTTATTGAATTGTTTAATTTAAAAGCAAATAGTAAACAAACCCTTTTAAAAGATTTGTTCCTTTAATTATTCAGTCTGTAAGTTATTAATAAATTTTAATATAAAAATATTTACAATAATCATTGCTAAGTAAAGCAAAATTAATAATTTCTTTGTTTTAAAGTTTAGAAATGGAACACGATTCCGATTGTACAAAACTATGTGACCCAAACAAGTACATAATGTCATCTGAAAAATCACGTCAAGGTCAAGTAACATGGTCCGAGTGCAGTCGTAATATAGCTGAAGGACTCTGGGAAACAAAAAAGTGCCTTCGAGATCGTACGAAAAATCTCGAAGACGCATATGACCATGCGCGGTATAAAAATTTACCCGGAAGACAATGGTGCGCCAAAGCACAATGTGAAATACATTTTCGCGACAAGGATGCGAACGTCGTCTCATTGCTTGATATATGTAAAACTTTGCAATGTAAAACGCCACACCGAGATGGGTATAACTTCATCGGATCAGCGTTGGAAGGTACATTATCTTACTGATCTCTTAAATACCTCACAGCTTAATTAATCTCATTTTTTAGGCACTTATTGCGCACCCGGGAAAGAATGTTGAAGCGAAGAATGCGTGCCCGATCTGCAACCGCCTCTCGATTATTGTGAAGATGATAACTGGAGTGAATGGAAAGAAAGCCCCTGTCGAAGTAGTTGCTTGGAGAAATCTAAAGGCGTAAAAGTCAGACGACGTTCTTGCAAACATGGAATTCGCAGAACGGCGAGTTGCGAAGGACCATATTACGACGTGGTTCTGTACGATGACTCGATGCTTTGCACTGAAAATCGCACGACAACCTCCCAGTTAACTACCGATAAATGCATTAAAATCAACGATTATCTAAAGCATGAATTCAGTATTGAACTGGAAAGTGGGCCGGGAGTTCAAGTCCTTCATAATGTCGCGGAACCGTGGAAAGCCTGTACTATACACTGCCGTAAAAAAGATTCACCAACTCTTTACGCATTTCGCTTCGAAATGATCAGCTTTAATATGGACCCATACTTTCCAGATGGAACGTGGTGTCACAATGAAGATGGCCAAGATTATTACTGCCGCCAACATTACTGTGTGCCGAAAAGCGAGTCTTAAGAATAATTGTCGGAAGATTATCAACGAGTGTAAAAGAAAATTGAGAAAAAAAAACGCGTTAATTAATCTAGAATAGTTGGTCCATTCGTTTGATATGAATATTCAATAGGTCGATCTGTTAACATCCGTTTTGTAGATGCATCTATCATGCATATCTTGTTTGATGAAGAAAAGTGGACAAAGAATTTTGTCAAATTATTAGCATCTAAAATGAAATACGTCGATTAGCATTATTAAAAACGTGAAAAAATATAGATAATAAGTAATTAACATGTTTACAAAACAATAAAATTAATAACTGAATAAAAAAAAGGTATTTTCATATATTTCATATATAATAAAAATAATTTTTATTTCGGAAAAAAGAAAAAAAATTTTATTACATAATCAAAAGATATTAAATATTATTTGGTAAAAGCATTTATTTATTTATTTATTTACTGAATTCATGAGCTCCGAATAAGTAACGATCTTAGAAATGGATTAATTACAATATATTTTCTTAGTCAATCAGTAAATCCGTAACCGATTGTATTTTACTTTTAAAGTATATAATATTTATATTTAACAATATATAATATGATATTTATAAGGCTAAATTACACGCGCACAATGTTATGATCTAGTCTTTTTAAAATTGTTATTCATTAAAATTTCTTTAACGTTTGTGAACATTGATTAAAATATTTGTGAATAATGTTACACATTTTACATATCAACCATAATTCATACCGCATTTTTTAATTCCCACGATATTGCAAGGTTTATGTGAAAAATATA